CTATAATGTCCTTAGGTATAGAGATATAATCATGAAGGACTATGTCTAATCTGGTGGTTGCATTTTTAAAACACCATAATCATTTTCTTCAAGTGCTGGATGTAAAGTATAGTTTAAAAATGAACATTAAACTATTTGCATTTTTGACATCATTAACTGTTGGTTCACTTTATTGTGGGGTACCCCTCATCCTTTGATGACTTAGGTCAACAAATAACTATTTATTAGGCATTTGGCTCTGAAACCAAACAAGATAATGCTGTCTCCACTCTCATGAAACTGAAATTTAGCAGGCAAGACTAGTACCTAAACTTTCATCCATTATAACATGTGCCCGATGGCCTTTGGAGGCATTTGAGTGAATTAAAAACAAACCCTCATCTTCATTCTCTTGATTCTAGAGGAGAAGACCAATAATAAACAGTAGAAATCAGGCAGTTGCTATGTTGGAGCAGAGTTTTGAGTAGTGTTTTCAGGGAAGCACTTGGGGAGAAAAGACTGGGTCTATTTTCTCATCTATAAAACGAAGGTAATTATATATGTCTTGGGGGTTTTATATGAATCAAATGAGAGGAAATATGTAGAAAAAGAAGTTAGCAAGTGAGTTAGTGACTTTTCTGTTGCTGTGACAAAACATATGACCAAAACAACTTATAAAAGAAAGGATTTAAGCCAGGTGATGGTAGTGCATGCCTTTAATCCCAGCACTTGGGAGGCAGAGGCAGGCGGATCTTTGAGTTTGAGGTCAGCTTGGTCTACAGAAGAGTGCTAGGACAGGCTCCAAAGCTACACAGAGAAACCCTGTCTGGGAAAAAAGAGAGAGACAGAGAGACAGAGAGAGAGAATGAATTTAATTTGAGGCTCATGGTTCCATAGGGTCAGTCAATGATCTCTAAAGCAGCAGGCAGTCATGGCACTGGAGCAGAGCTGAGAGCTTACATTGGATCCACCCACAAGAGATAGAAATCTAACTTGAGAATGGTGTGGGCTGTTAAGACCTCAGAGCCCACCCCTGGGACCTCCAACAAGGCCACACCTCCTGATCCTTCCAAACAAACAGTTCCATCTACTGGAGACTGAGCATTCAAATATATGAGCTGATGAGAGTCATTCTCATTCAAACCACCACTCTGATTCAAAACATCACACTCCTTGCCTCCTATAGGCTTGTGCTCATATCATAAATAAAAAGTGCATTTAGTTCAAATTAAAGTCCCTATGACCTTTCAATCTCAATACAGTTTCAAAGTCTAAAATCTCATATGAGACTCAAGGCAATCTCTTAATTGTAACCCCTGTAAAATGAAAAGGCAAATTACATAACACCACATACAATGGCACCAAATATACATTACCATAGCAAAAAGGAATTGTGAGCATATTAAGAAAACACTGAACTAAACCTCATCAGGGCAAACTCCAAATTCTGTAGCTCCAGGTCTGAGGTCAAAGGGTTTAGACTGTAGTTTGAATCTCTCACTCCTTTCTGCATTGTTGACTGCAATATAGTTCTAATGTGGGATTCCCCTCTGTATGCTGTGAATATATTTTATTATTGTTGGTTAATAAAAAAGCTGTTTCATCCGACTGGCTTAGAGTAAAACCAGGCAGGAAATCCGACAGATAGAGGGAGCGTAGGTGGAGTCAAAGAGATGCCGTGTAGCTGCCAAAGGAGACAGATGTTGTACGGAACCTTACCAGTCGGCCACAGCCTCATGGCAAAACAAAATAATAGAAATGGGTTAATTTAAGATGTAAGAGTTAATAAGAAGCCTGAGCTAATAGGCAAATCAGTGTTGTATTAATATAGTTTCTGTGTGATTATTCGGGTCTGAGAGGCTAAGAACAAAGGAGCAATCTCCTACATCATTCTCTTGAGCTCTGCAGCTCGGCCTGGTACACGTTCTACTGATTTGGCATCTCCAACATCCTATGTTCTCCAATAAAATTAAGCTTGAATTTTGTAGCTTTACACAATGACTTCTCTGGGCTTCCATGCAAGGGTTCTACGGCCACCGGCCTGGCCTCAACAGGTTTCTTTAACCCTGGAGGAAGATTCCACAACTGCTTTACTCCTGTATCCTTCATGACTCTAAAGCTAGAATCATGTGGCACATCCTGCCAAGTTTGACTGCTTACTTGCCCCTTATTGAATTACATTTGCATAAACTTTGATTTGTCACTGCTTTTTAGGAACAGGCCTAATCCCTTAGACCTTTTTACAGATTGCAGGAGTAGCTGGCTAGGGTCTTGCCCTGAGGGCATCACTCCCTTTATTCCATTTCTTTTTATCTCAGCACAACCCTGGCATCAACATTAAATTTCCTTGTGCTCTTTTTCTCCCCGAACTACACTGTGTATTTCTGTTTGTCCCACTTGCTCTTTTTCATTGTAGATCACTAGCTAGGTAGTGAGCGGTAACTCCTGCCTTTACTCCCACCACTTGGGAGGTAGAGGCAGGTGGATCTCTGAGTTCAAGGCCAGCCTGGTCCAAGGAACAAGTTTCTGGACAGCCAGACTACACAGAGGAAAAAGCCCTGTCTTGAAAAAAAAAAATTAATAGCTATGCAAATGAGTAAATATTAGGCTCTCTTGAAATTTCTGCCAACAAAATTAGACCAAAACTCTTCAGTTCAGCTTCAGGCAGATTTTTAAGACGAGGGCAAAAAGCAGCCATATTCCTGGCCAAAATATCAAAGAGTATCAAATATCAAATATCAAACATCTATAATGTTCCCCTCTGAAAGCTCTTGAGCTGTGCCTCTATAATCCACATTGTTCTCAGCACATTTGTCTTCCAAGCTTCTGTTAGGATGGCGAATTAAGTCCAGCTTACAATGTTCAGTCCCTTACTAGTCCAAAGTCCTAAAGTCTTCCACATTACTCTATAAACAGGCCTGTCACAGCAAAATAACCCACTTCTAGTATCAGTGATGTTCAAACTGAGGCTATGACTGCTCCAAGGTATGATTGAGGGGAAGGTTTTTATTGTATATATTAGGGAGAGTACAGCCAGAGGTATCTAGAGTCCAGAGCAGGAAAAGAAAGTGGTAGATTTAACATGGCCAGCAAACAAGATTGGGTCATGGTTAGGTTTGATTGAGAGAGGAAGACGGAGTGTGGACAAAGAAGGCTTAAGAGAGGGGCTCAAGAGAGGAAGACAAAAGAGACTTAAAATAGTAGGGTTATAAGTGATAAACTGGGGAAGACAAGTCCGTGAGCTGAAGACGCTGGAGTAGGGGACAGGTGAGAAGAGCTGAAAAGAACCACAGGTACTTGGGATACTGAGTAATCCTGGAGACCAGCATGTGCTTTGGTGTGTGTGGTGCTAACAGTCCCTTCTGACAGGGATGGAAATGACTAGAATAGGGGGAGTGGGGATACTTTGGACCTGACATTTTAGTTACTTCTGTATTGCCATGGCAAAAACACTATTGTTAGGTTTCAGGAAGCTCAGAAATAAGTTTAAACTGGACTGTAGGAGAATTTCCTTTCCCTCCTCTTCTTCAAGACAGGGTTTCTCTCTGTAGCCCTGGCTGTCCTGGAACTCACTCAAACCCAGACCTTACCCAGACTTTCTAAGTGCTCTTGGCCACAGCCTACATTCTGCTGAGATGGCTTTCACCCAAACCCCAACCAAGGTTGGACTGATATTCTGCTAGCCCCTCAGGCCACAAAAAGGTACTTGGCTTTGTGATGCACCACAGAACTCACCTATGCCTTAGTTTGGCTCCCTAACAGTCTTGGAGAATGGTGCCATCATTTACCCAGCTGTGTCTGACAGATGTCTTGGCACCTATACCACTCCTCACCCCAGAAGGGTATAATTTCATGTGTTAAGAACCCAAGGCTTTAGGTGCAGCCTCGGCTCAGTGCAACAGCACCCCCTGCTGGCTGATTGCTGTTCTGGCTGATTTCTGAACCTTTCTGCTTGTGTTTGGAGACCAAATTCTGATCCCAAACCCCTTTGGAAAGCCTCTCCCTCATTCATCTCAACTCTTGTCATTCTCTTCTTTTGTCCCGTGGGTGCCTCATATGAGTTTGTGGGTTTTTCTGGCCCTTTACAGAAGCTGTGGAGGCCTTGAGAGCTCCCATAGCACCCCTTTCCTCTGAACAGATCTGGCTCTGGCCACACTACTACAAGACCTGTTGGCTGGTCCTATTTTCTAGATGTCGTTAGAGAAGATGCACACATTTGGCTACTGCAGTGTTGTTTCCACACTGAACTCACCAAAGGTATTTGTGCTTCTCTGTCTGCAGGACAATTATTCCAAAATTATGTTTTAAAAAAGTATCACAGCAGCCTAAAAAGACAAAATTGGCAAGTGACCTACCATGTGGCTAGGTGTAGCTATAGGTGGATGCCACACAGAACTAACGGTAGAGAACCATAGGCTAGAGAAATGGCTCAGCATTTAAGTGTGCTTGATGCTCTTCCAGAGGACATGAGTTCTGTTCCCAGCACCCATGTGCTGCCTGTGACTCCAGCTCCAGGAAGATCCAACACCTCCCCCGACACCCCAACATGTGGCATACACAAAGATGAATATAATACAATAAAAATCTTTTTTGTATGTGAGAAAAGATCAGGGTAAGTAGAAAGGCTTAAAAAAAAAAAAAAGAGGTAGTCAAGTATGGTGACCACACTATAATTCTGGCACCCAGGAGGCAGAGCCAGGCAGATCTCTTGTGTTTCAGGTCAGCCAGAACTACATAGTGAGACCCTGTTTCAAAAAATAAATAAAAAGTAGAAGCTAGAGAGATGACTCAGCACTTAAGAACACTTAGTCTTACAGAGGACCCAGGTTTGGCTCATAAACATCTAAATTCCAGCCCCAGGAAAGCCAATGCCTTCTGACCACCATGAGCACTAGGTATACAAGTGGTGCATGAACCTACATTACATGCAGGCAGAAGTCATACACATAAACCAAACACAAAAATGTCACAAGATGGTCAAAATCTCCACTGCTACTTAAACTTTATCAAAATGCTTTTATTTGTTTATTCATTTATTTTTACATACCAATCCCAGTTCTCCCTCCCTCCTCTCTACCCGCTCCCCCCACCTTCTCCCTCCGCCATCTGCTCCTCAGAGAGGGTAAGGCCTTCCCTGGGAAGTCATTGCATCATAATTTTGTAATTTTGAATTTTGTAATTTTTGCAAGAAAACAGAGAAAATAAAGACATCAGCAGTTCTTTTCATAAAGTGCAGATTTAATCTTCAATTGTTAAATCCTGTAAACAACTTATTTCAGGTCCTCTCTGTTCCAACCCAAGAAAAAGAGGGAAAGGCTATTTTTTGTTTTTACTTAAATGTCAAATTTTTAAAAAGACCCAACTTTTTGTTTTGTTTTTTTTTGATACAGGGTTTCTATGTGTAACAGCCTGGCTGTTCTGGAACTTACTTTGTAGACCAGGCTAGCTTCAAACTCACAAAGACCCTCCTGCCTCAGCCTACCAACTGCTGAAGATATGTATCACTATGCCCAGCAAAAAGACCCAACTTAGATAAAGTTTTTGCAAATGTGTTTCCTGGTAAGGTTTGAAGGTTCTGCAACTGTACTGAAGGAAAGTAGCCTTTCATAACTAACGTGAGTAGACACTGGAATGCATAATGTAGACATCTGTGATTATGTGGCAATTTTAAGGTCTCAAATTAAGAAGGTCCAATAAGGTGCTGGTGGTGCACGCCTTTAATCCCAGCACTCGGGAGGCAGAGGAAGGCAGACATCTCTGGGTCTGAGGCTAGCCTGGTCTCCTCCACAGTGAGTTACAGCCAGTGCTACACAGAGAAACCTTGTCTCAAAAACAAACAATAAAACCCAAAACAAAAACCAAACAAACAAACAAAGAAGGTCCAAAAACAGTGTCCTTTATGATGTGGTCAAATTACTTTTCCTGAAGTCACCTGAAGACACTATCTGGTTTTAGCCTCTGCAATTTGATTCTTAAGTTCCTTTATAATAATGAAAGCAGTATGGGCTGGGGGTTTAGCTTGGTGGGAAAGCACATGCCAGGCCCAGGTTCTAGCTCCAGCACTGCAAACAAAAAACAAAGGTGTTGCCGGGCGGTGGTGGCGCACGCCTTTAATCCCAGCACTCGGGAGGCAGAGGCAGGCGGATCTCTGTGAGTTCGAGACCAGCCTGGTCTACAGAGCTAGTTCCAGGACAGGCTCCAAAGCCACAGAGAAACCCTGTCTCGAAAAACCAAAACCAAAACAAAAACAAAAAAAAAAAAAACAAAGGTGTGGTGTTGTTTCTAATATTTAAAACGGTCTCCTCTGTTAAAGGAACTGGTTTCTTTTTCCCAAAGGCACTGCCAGCAGCAGTTAGTACAAAATCTATGAAAAACCTTCATAATATAGGCAAAAATTTCAAAGGCCCACCCAGAAACATTTTCTTTTACAAGAAAGTGCAACTGCAATATCTCTTGAATGATATTCTAGGTAATTCTGCAGAAAATATAGCAGTTTGGCTCAGAAAGTAAAAAAAATCTCTCATGAGGAATTCAAGTTTTTTTCTAGAAGAATAAAAAGCAAACTGCGAGGCAGCTTTCTGAAAATAAACCGTTAAGTTTATGGTTACAGTGAGACAAACAGGGATACACAATGAAGGAGTGCATGTGCTGAACTGTGTGCAACTCCTAAACTCTGGGACAGCATATGGCTCCTACCATTAGGACATGTTAAAACACTGTCCAGCACTGGATCAAACTGGCAGGGAGAAAAATAATCACAATTGTTTTTAAATGTTTCTCAGGACAGATCTCAATACTTGGAAATAAATCATTAAAATTAGAACATTTCCTCTGTAACTCCAATACTCTATAATGCCAGTGGGTACTCAGAATGAAGAGAAGTTCTGTCGGGGCTTGCTGTGGGCATTCAGATTTTTAGCATCTGTTCGGCCGCTGCTAGATGGTAAAGGAAGTTCTCTGTGGCAGGCGGGAATCGCTTTTGCTTCAGTGCCTCAACACTGAGGACAATTTTCCCCCCGTCATCTGACACTTCTGAAAATGGTGCTAGATTGGTGAAGATTTCTTTTGTTTTTAGAGCAATATCCTTTAAAAGAATAGAAAAATACACAGCATTTTAGAATCTAAAAATGTGAATAGCTATTTCCTAGAATCCACCTTTTGTTATCAGACTGGCTTCATAAACTGCCCCCTCACCCCAGGGCAGGGTTTTTCTGGCTCTTCTGGAACAGTCAACTCTTTCTTCCCTGCAGAACCCTGGTGATCTGTATCCTACTTCTCTACGAATTCACCTGCTTTGCTACATTATCTAAGTAGAATCATGTATCTGCCATTTTGTGATTGGCTTGTTTCATGCAACAGTTAACAAGTCCTGAAGGTTCAGTCTTGGCTATTAGACCCTTCTTTTCTAAGGCCGAATAATATTCTATTGTATGTGTCCACTCTATTTGTTTACCGACTCTTCCTGCTGATGGATAATCTGGTCACCCCCATCTTTTATTAAATATACATAACGCTACCAGTGACAAGTCTGTTTATGTCTCTGCCTTCAATTCCACTGGATATTCACCTAGAAGCAGGACTGCTGATTAAGAATCATTCTACGGGTACCATTCTTTGAATGAGTCTCTTCCCTGCAATTGCCCAGCAGAGTAACCTGTCACCTGTCCCATGGGCTTTAGCCTGTTCAGTAACTGGCACTCCTAAGTGGCTGGTGACTCACTGGAACTCACATTAGTCATGTCTTTTACCTGTTTTGCTGACATCATAATCACATTCAAGTTTTTTTTTTTTAACATTTATCACTTTCCTTTCCCAAGATCTCATACATTATGTGAGGTTATCTAAGTATCATTTCTAATCTATGAGAAATAATCCAAACAACCCATAGCTAAGATCTCTGATTGTGACCAATATTATCAAGGATGGCAGTTTCTCAGGCTATCGCCATCGCTCTTCACTGCCCTCTCTAACCAGATGTTATGACCCTACTGCTGATGACACCATCCATATACAGGCTGTAGGATATACAGAAATTAAGCTGAAACTGATCAAGACATTTTCTCCCTGCTTGCTAGCTTTCATAGTGCCAGAATGTGCTATATATAGGTCGCTGACTAAGAAAAGACAACAATGGTCTTACCTATTATTAGATCCTATATGCTATAAAAGTGACTTGTAAGGCAAGATGTGCCCACCACTGGTGCAATAGTGACAGGGCTATTACAGAGAAACAATCGTCCACTTTCTGACTGCTCCATGGGAGGGAATTCTTGATGCTACTATAAACATGGTCAAAAGCCCACGTCTAGGGTAGAGGGAAAAGGGGAGTTCATACTAAGGGCAAACATACTATTACTGTTTCCTAAATGGTCATATTACCAAACTGTCTTCTAAATATTTATGGTTATATCCACAGACTTGTGCTGATCTCACCCTTGGTCAAAGAGACTTATTTTTGCAGCGAGTAGTGATTAATGCAGAGACTCAAACTGGTCAGAGTGCTGAGAACAAGTGAATGAATGCTCAACCCTAAACAGGACATCTATATCACCACCCCACAAGGCTCAGAGAACACCACAGAAACATGGAAGAGAGGGTGGAAAGCAGTTAAAAGCTGGAGGATGGAAAGGAGAATTGTGAAATGCTGACATGGTTGTAGCATTCATGAACTCAATACAGCTCTGACTACCCATGTAAAATCTATACAAGATCAAGTTAAATTTCAACATGGATAGGGAGAGATAAATGAAGCCCCACCCTAACTCAGTAGAAGACAGCAGCACTGAGCTCAGTGTGGGGATGGCAGAGGCCTGAAGAGATGACTCAGTGGTTAAGAGCATCTGCTGGTCTTTCAGAGGATCCAGGTTCAGTTTCCAACACCCACATGGTAGTTCACAATCATCTGTAATTCCAGTGCAGGGGATCCAACATCCTCTTCTGACCTCTGGGTGTAATATAGTGCACAGACATACATGCAGGCAAAACACCAATACACATGCACACACACACATAATCCATAGACAGATACATGATAGATGATGGATGGCTAGATAGATAGATAGATAGATAGATAGATAGATAGATAGATAAAGTTAGGAGGGAATCTATTGGAGAAATCCAGAAGAAGTAGGCAGTAGATACCTGTCAAAGTACAAAGTATACCTGTATACATGTGTGAAATTCTCAAAGAATAAATTTTAAATGATACTAAAAAGAATGAGTGATTCTGCTCTAATTTGATGGGAGGCAATGGCCAATTCATCTAAAAGAGAAGTGCCTCAGTCTTAGGAGGAAACCCACCTACTTTTCCTAGCCATGCTGCACAGACCACCAGCACTACAGAGAAAACCGTGCTGTCAGCCAACCCTGCCAAAGCCTGCTGCTCCTTGCATCTGCTTACAGACCTATTACTAAAAGCTTGATCTCTTCAGAGTTCAAAAGTAGAGATTTGATTCCAAAGCTACTGTTTTACCATTTGCTCCCCCATGAAAATTCTTAGAGCAGATGAAATTCACTGGTGGTCCTCACAGGCATTCCAGCCTACTCAGTGGTTACAATTCTCCCCACTGGGGATGACTTCAGTACCAGCCCCTGTAATGACCCTCCCCTCCCACACACTCCACCTATCCACCTTTATCTTGGCCACTGCAAAACCTGTCCCCTGATACTTCATTCTGCTACCATGCCCTGAAAGTGTACAGTGAGGCTGCTACAGGATGCTTCCTAAGGCAAATCAAGGGTTACCTGTATCACCTGGCTGTCTGACTTCTCTGGGTCTTCTGCAGACTGCACAATTAGCTGACCAATTTCTTTATGCAGTTTGCCCATTGTCATGGCCTCTGATGAAAGCAGAAAGAATGTTGGATAAAGATTTAGAATTTTACACAATAAAAAATAACCAAGTCTTCCAACTGAAAATCTGAAAGACCACACTAAAGGACTTTTAAGACTACAGTTAACCCTCCGGGTTTCTGTTTTATTCCCAACACAAACATAACAGCATGCTGGAGGTATTATCACCAATGCCAAACCAGATTTCCCCTTCATATCTGCCTGATAAACTGGATGAAAAACACTGATTACAAGTGAGCTGTGATTGGAAGGCGAAACCCACGCCTTTACAGTTAAGAATCTAAGTGGCACATACATTTAATCCCAGCATTCTAAGGCAGAGGAAGGCCGATCTCTTTGAGTTGTAGGCCAGCCTGGTCTACAGAGTGAGTTCTAGTACAGTCCTGACTATGAAGAGAGACTGTCTCAAAAAAATCAGGGTGGGAAATAAAAAAATTAAGTGCATTGTTCTGGCAGGAAGGTTGTAAAAAAAAGAGCTTCCTACCAGACCCTCAGGTGCTAGAAGAGCACACAGCATGTTCAGATCCTTGGAAACACGCAAAGAAAACCGCTTCAGTCACGTGAACTACAGAATTGCTCCTGCTTGCTGTGAAACAGAAAGTTCTGTGTGTCACTGCAAGGGACACAGTCTCTTTAGATGGTACAACTGGAATGAGTGTGCTCTGTAGATCAGAAAATGGACAGTGCCATCCTTTCTGGTTCTGGCCATGGCCATTTTTTATAATTTTAGCCTTTTCCTAAGGTCTGTTTCTACTTTCATTTTTCCACATGAACATGGTCATGTTTGAAATTTTAAAACAAGTGAAAAGAGAAAAAAATCTGGTTTTACTCATTTGAAGTTGCTAGATAAAACCCTCACAGCATCAGATTCTAGCAGAGTCCTGACAGCCAGCATTTGGCTGTTCCCACCTTAGGGAACCAATGATAGAGCATACCAGAGCTATGAGCAGCAATCTCACCTGTCTTTCTAACACAGACCTGCAGGAAAACCGAGAAATCCCTCCAGCTCTAGCAGATGCCTAGCAAGCTCTCAAATATTGGTTTTAAGGAGTCAGCACAAAACACAAAGCTGCTTGGTTTACACCTCATGCTAACACTGGAACAGAGAAAGAATGGAAAAGTCACCTTTTGCGAGTGGAGCAATGGTGATCTCACTATCCGCCAGATTCACAAACACATCGTAGAGGTCTGGTCTGTTGCTCACCTCCAGTTCTACAAAGCCAGCAATGTAGCCTGCACAGTAAATAAATAAAATTACTGGAGCAGAGAGAAATCATGTGGTTAAAGTCTCAGAAGTGATCAATCTGATAGCTCACTGGCTACTTTTCTTTAGAATTTTCTACTATTCAGGAACATTAGCTGTACCTTGGCACTTTATTAGTGCTATAAAATCAAAATACGCATGGCTCAAAATGTTCTAAAACTTAAGTTCAATGTCAAGGAACAAGGCTGAAGGAAAACATTTACTTTTTGGTCAATGCTATTTAGGTCAAGAATGTCAGAAAGTAGGTAACTCTTAAAGAAGCCTATCCCCAGCTGGACAATGGTGGTGCACACCTTTAATCCAAGCATTTGGGAGGCAGAGGCAGGTGGATCTCTGTGAGTTCGAGGATAGCTTGGTCTACAGAGTGAGTTCCAGGGCTGTTACACAGAGAAACCCTGTCTCCAAAAATGAAAATAAACAAACAAACAAATAAATAAAATTTTAAAATTGAGGAGCTAGAGAGATGGTTCAATAGTTAAGAGCACAAGCGGATCTTATAAAGGACAGAGATTAGATTCCCAGAGCCCACATGATGGCTCACAGCCATCTGTAACTCCAGTTTTGGGCCTTCATAGGCACTAGGCACACAGTGGTCCCTAGACATACACAGGAGCAAAACACTTATAAACATAAAAGAGACTATAAATAAATCTTTAAAAAAGAAAATTAAATTCTAAAATCAGATGCTATATACACAAAATAATCCTAGGTATATTAAAGAACTAAATGGGAAAGAAAAAACATTTTTAAGAAAGCATAGGAGACTCTGGTCTAAGCCCAGGAAAAGGTTTTTCTAGACAAAATACAAAGTACTAAAGTAACAGAAGTCTAAAAAATTCCAACAAATTAAAATTACAAATTTGTGGGACCAGTAATATTGCTCAGTGGGTAAAAGTGTTTGTGGCCAAGACTAATGACCTAAGCTTGATCCCCAGACATACATGGTAGAAGAAAATCAACTGATACAAGCTGTCCTCTGACCTCCAGCAATATGCTATGGGAAGGTAAGCATGCAACTGAGCAACACACACACACAAAAATATAAAAAACAAAAAGAATTCTACTCATCAAAAGATACCACAAAATTTGTGGTGAAGCACACACCAGCTTGGAGATTTTGAAGCATAAGTAAAAATAATGTGCTTATATCCTGAACAAATAAAAGAATTTATACAAAAACTTAATTGAAAAAATGAGTATTGTTTTGCTGTAGAGAAAACAGGAAAGATATCTAGATGTGTTTACCCTTACTAAGAATCAGGAAAAATTAAAACTACAATAAAATACCACGCTAAACTTTCCAAGCTGTAGCTGGGTGGTAGTGGTCCATGCCTTTAATCCTAGCAAGAAGGCAGAGATCTCTGTGAATTCAAGGTCAGCCTGGTCTACAGAGTAAGTTCCAGGACAGCCAGACTATACAGAGAAGCCCTATCTCAAAACAAAACAAAATAAAACAAATAAAAAAACTTTCGAAGCTGGCAAACATTTCAATCTAACAGCAAGAGTGGTTGAAGACAGGAAGTAACAGAATCTCCCCTGTGCTGCTACAGAGAAGGTAAACTGGAGACTCTGAGGGTCACACTTAGCATTAGCCAGTGACTTGAATTAAACTAGCAATTCCACCACAATATTTAATGAGAAGTCTTATAAACATTCACCAAGAGATGCATAAGAATGCTTATGGTAGCACTGTTTTTAAGAAGGTTAACTATGGGCTAGCGAGATGGCTCAGTTGGTAAAGGTGACCGTCACTATGCCTGATGATCTAGTTCAATCTCTGGGAGCCCCAGTGTAGAAGGAGAGACCCAATACCCACAAGTTGTTCTCTGATCCCACGCATATGCAATGACAGACATATGCCTACACACAAAATAAATAAACATATTAGATTTAAAAAGTGAATATATAAAAAGTCATTCAGTGAACTCCAATGCAAATGGAGAATAAAAGGAACTACAGACATCCACATAAACATGGATGAATCCCACAAAAATATTAAATGCTAAACAGAAATAAAGCAGGTCATAGAAAATTTCATCTACTGCATCTATGCACAGAGCTGCTTGGAGATACGTGTTTATACATGAAGGCCAAAAAGGATGAATCCATAAGTAAGTGTAAGGGAAAGGAAAGCTGTGGGGAGGAAAGCAGGCGGAAAGAGCGGTGCTCCACACACCACCAAGAGGCTACTTAAGGGGCTGGAGAGATGGCTCAGTGGTTAAGAGCATTGCCTGCTCTTCCAAAGGTCCTGAGTTCAATTCCCGGCAACCGCATGGTGGCTCACAACCTTCTGTAATGAGGTCTGCTGCCCTCTTCTGGTTTGCAGACACACACAGACAGAATATTGTATACTGTATACATAATAAATAAATAAATTAATTAATTAATATTTTTAAAAAAAGAGGCTACTTAAGAAAACATTTTCTCTTTGTCTCTGTTGCTCAGGATGGAACTCAGGGCTTTGAATATGTTAGGCAAATATTATCTACCCCGAGTCATATATCTCCAACCGTATATATCTTTAGAAAAATATATTCTATTGACTGATTGAGTATATGTATTCAGTACTCAGTGCATGTGAAGGTCAAAGGACAACTTTAAAAAGTTGGTTCTTGGGGCTGGAGAGATGGCTCAGAGGTTAAGAGCATTGCCTGCTCTTCCAAAGGTTCTGAATTCAATTCCCAGCAACCACATGGTGGCTCACAACCATCTGTAATGGAGTCTGGTGCCCTCTTCTGGCCTACAGGCATACACACAGACAGAATATTGTATAATAAATAAATAAATAAATATTTAAAAAAAGAAAAAGTTGGTTCTTTCCTTCTACTGCGTATATTCTGGGAATCAAACTTAAGTCATCAGGTTTGGTGGCAAGTGTCTTTACTGTTGAGTTATCACTCTGGCCTCAACTCTGTGTATTTTGCATGACAGAAATATTTCATAATTTGAAAGGCAAATCATGACCCAGGTGGTGGCGGCACATGCCTTTAATCCCAGCACTTGGGAGGCAGAGGCAGGTGAATCTCTATGAGCTTGAGGCCAGCCTGGTCTACAAGAGCTAGTTCCATGACAGCCAAGGCTGTTAACACAGAGAGAAACTCTGTCTCAATAAAAGTACCAAACAAAAACAAAAACAAACAAAAAACCACTCAAAATCAAATTACTGATTAACTTGGTGCTGGGAATATAGCTCAGTGGTAGAGGCCTTGCTTAGCATGCCTAAAACCCTACATTCAAGTTCTAATACCAGGAAACCACACACACACACACACACACACACACACACACATACACAAACACACACAAACAAGTTAAAATGACAATTTTGTGCATTTTACTACATATTTTAAAAAATATTTCTAAATTGGAAAAAAATCATTGTATTTGCAAAAAAAAAGTTTTCTTATTCATCTTACCAATGTGTGCATGCCCCATCAATACAAACACATACGTTAAACATAAGCAGAGTCCTTCCTAACCTAGGATGTTCTCGTGTACCTGTGCACATCTGCAGGCCTTCCAGTTCTTCAGCATGGAGGTGCACGTAAGAATGCAGGATGGTCCAGTCCTGTCGATGCCACACCAGGGCAGGCAGAGTCCTAAGGAATAAAGGAAAAACTCAGTCATACAATTGCTGGCCTTCACTTTGGACACTTGTCTGCTTCTACTCCTCCCAAGAGGAAACATCCAGGGTAAAGTTCTATGGATGGCTAAGCAGAAACAGAGGAGAAATCTAAGCCTTAAATGGACTTGACAATAAAGCAATGCCTGTGTGTGTGCGCGTGCGCACGCGCACGTGTGTGTCTTTGAACAGGGTATTTTACCCTGGCTGGCTTGGAACTCACTATGTAACCCAGGCTGGCCTCAAACTCATGACAATTCTCCTGCCATAACCTCCAAAGTGCTGGTATTATAGGTATATTGTTAAAGTTAAAACCTTTCATTTGTTGTTTAGATAAAAAGGGGGAAATGTTATAGAATATTTTAAGGAATGCCATTTTTGTTTATGTTCTGGAACAATTTTTTAATGATGCAAAGATGTGTTTGATTAAATAAAATTCACCTGTGGTCAGGAGACTGAGTCAGCAACTAGGGTGATCTCTGTGAGTTCGAGGACAGTCTGGTCTACAAAGCGAGATCCAGAACAGCCAGAGCTAAACAGTCAAACTCTGTCTTGAAAAACAAAAACAAACAACAACAACAACAAAAAAGATTTAAGAATGAATTAGATTTAGTAAACAAAAAATTCCACTTCCCACACCCCATTTACCACTAACAATGTGAGTCAGGTAAAACGGAATCAAAAATTTACTTTAAACAAAGGTCAACAAACTAGGCCTCATGGGCTGGCTAGCTGCCTATCTTAGAAAATAAAGTTTTATTGACACAACCATGCTCACTCACACACATATTATCTAGAGTTACTTTCCTGCTAGCTAGGCAGCTGAGAAATTGGCAGAGGCACATAGTTCCCAAGCCTAAAATGTTTACTATATACATGTATGTGTATGAATGTGTACATATAAATATTTTTTTTAATTTATTTAATTTTATGTGTATGGGTATTCCACCTGAATTCATGTCTGTGCAACACATCTGTGCTTGGTGCCCAAGGAGTTACAGATGGTTAAAACCCACTATGTGGTACTGGGACTTAAATCCAGACCTGCCCGTAAGAGCAACCAGTGCTATTAACCACTAAGTCCATATCTCCAGCCCCAAGCCTAAATTACTTACTTTCTTTCAAACAACAATTTGCTAACTCATTGTATCTGCCAAAGAAATAGTTGTAGTCAGTATTGTAGGAATGTGTGCAGACACACCACAAGCACCCACTTACATATATAAGCATACACACCAAACAGAAGTTAAGGAGAGCCCTTCCTCCTGGGGTGCACATCTGCAAGTCCATTTCTATGTTGTTTTTTAAGACAGGGTTTCTCTGTGTAGCCCTGGCTGTACTAGAACTAGCACTGTGGACCAGGCAGGCCTCAAATTCAGAAACCATCTGCCTCTGCCTCTTGAGAGTAGCCTTTGCCTTCCAAGTGCCCTATTTCTAAAGATAAATAAAAATTCAGTGACCCTGAACTACTAGCTCTAAACTGAATCACAAAAATGGTATTTTACTCACACTAACCTGTTGTAGAATATTATTTTCTGGTGTGTGACTTTTGTTTATGCTTCATTTGTTTAACTGAATGGCCAATAGCGAGGCAGGAACAAGATAGGCGAAGCTGGCAGACAGAATATAAATAGAAGGAGAAACGAGGAAGAGAGGGAGCAATGAGATAACAAGGAGAGGACATGGTCAGGGACCAGCCACCCGGCCAGCCACAGAGTCAGAGTGAAAGTAAGATATACAGAAGTAAGAAAAGGAAAAAGGTCAGAGGCAAAAGGTAGGCAGGATAATTTAAGTAAAGCTGGCAAGAAACAAGCCAAGCTAAGGTCAGGCATTTGTAAGTAAAAATAAGGCTCCGTGTGTGCTTACTTGGGAGCTGGATGGTGAGCCCCCTAAAGAACAAAGAGTAAAGAAAAAAAAAAAATCACACTACACTAACCCATTCTCTTTTTATCAAATATGCAACAGAACATAGCACACAGCAGCATCTAGTATCTCCAACTGTAAGGAAAGCTCACACTTTAATAATTAAAGATGGTACCTGGTAAACTCCTGGACAGCTTCTATTTTGGGGTGATAAACAACAATTCGTTTTTTCAACATCAATGCTGTGTGTAAGATAACAGTTTCCATTCCAAATTGAGAAACAATGTCTTAAAATAAAAAGAAAAGATTGCATTAAATACATAAAAGCATAACGTTTCCATTAAAAAGAATTCTTTTTTTTTATTTTATTTATTTATTTTATTATGTATACAATAGTCTGTCTGTGTTTATGCCTGCAGGCTAGAAGAGGGCACCAGACCTCATTACAGATGGTGTAAGCCACCATGTGGTTGCCGGGAATTGAACTCAGGACCTTTGGAAGAACAGGCAATGCTCTTAACCACTGAGCCATCTCTCCAGCCCCCTAAAAAGAATTCTTGTCATATAAATACAAAATGACTTTTAATACACTGGCTACCTTAAGGCAAATGTTATTAAGTGCAGACATACTTCATTTAGTAGATGGATATGTTTATTTATGTCCTCATCAGGATATATATCATAGTTGCAGCCCTTTGGGGACTCTGGATACACAGATAATGCCAGAATCCCAAGGAAGTGCAATAAATAATACAAAGGAGAATCAACACTATTCAGAGTCATAAAAAGCTTTGGAGAATACCCAGCCCCGACCTCACTGAAGCCAGCAGATGGAGAGCAGTGGGCTCTGTTAAGGACCTGAGGCAGGGCAGCTCCACCTCCAGAGGACCGCAGGATCTGTGGCTTGGCTTTTGGCTGCCTGTCATTGTATTCTTCAGCTAAGTGCTGGATTAGACTATGGACATGGCTGTAGCTCTCTACTAGGAAGAGTTAATGACTAAGACGTTAGGAAAGAAAAACTGTGGAAGTCAGTGGAGACCATGAGCCATGAAATTTTGCTAAAGGCACATTTCTATAAAAGACACAATATGGAAAAAGGTTGCCACAAAATGTTTTGTTCTGACAGAATTCTAAATCAGTAAGCAACGTAAGAATTGATGTATTCTTCTGTATAGAAAATGCCTTGGCTTGGGGCTTTTGTTGCTGGTCAGGGTTTTCCTTTCTTTTCTTTCTTACCTTTGATGGAGCCTGCAAGATATGCCTTTCGACTATCATAGTCTCTGCTAAAGAAAGAGCCATTTTCTTCACTCTGGCAGATCCCCTTGGTAAGAACTGCAATGTAACTCTCCATCATTTTAACTGGGCTTCCATGTTTCAGATATATTCTGTGAGAAAGGACAAAAGGTGACAATGCTTTTTATGCAGTATGATAATGTGGGAAAGGAACCAATATTAGACACTAGTATTTTCTAGATTATGAAGTTTTAGCATTTCCAAATGTGCAAACCTGTTCATAGCATTTCTTCTCTAATTTACTTTGAAATACAACACTTGACAAATATAGACCATTTCTTTGAGAAAGGCTCTCTCCTGCCATCTGGAAATGTAGTCCCTATATAGGGGAAATTAACAATGGATTCCCAAAGCTGTTACTCCCAGGAATATTGTATTCTTACTTCTTCTTATGTCTTATGCTCACAACTGGTGCCCTCAGTCACACAACTCTGTTCTCCTGGCTCAACTTCCTTTGACAAGAGTTCAAAGCATCATTCACAGATAAAACAGTGCTGAAGCACCTATGCTTATTATAAGCAATCCTAGAAGTAACTACACTTAGATGGTTAAGAAACCCAGTGATAAACACAGACATCTGCCATCAAGTTAAAGACTTCCAAAAACACCGAAGGGAAGTCAGCTGCACTTATAGAGGCCACATGTTCAGTCTCTTCCCCTTGAAGTCCTTTCCATGGAGCAACTAAGACTACCCTCTCTCTTGTTTGTTTATTCATTTAATTTTTTTTTTTTGGTTTTTCGAGACAGGGTTTCTCTGTGGCTTTGAAGTCTGTCCTGGAACTAGCTCTGTAGACCAAGGCTGGTCTCGAACTCACAGAGATCCGCCTGCCTCTGCCTCCCGAGTGCTGGGATTAAAGGTGTGCACCACCATCGCCAGGCTCATTTGTTAATTATTTGACAGCAATTTATTTATTTAGAGGCAGTGTCTCTCTGTGTCCTGGCTGTCCTAGAATTTGCATGTAGACCAGGCTGGCCTCAGATTCAGAGAGATCCTCATGCCCCTGCCTCGAGAGAGTTGGGATTAAAGACTTAAGCCACCAAGCCTGGCTTAGAGCTACATTTTGTTTGAGAAACTTGACTGGGGCTGGTGTTATACTTCAGTAGTCAAGGGTGGGCCTAGCCTGCTTGAGGCCCTGAGTTTGATCCACAGCACTGAAAAATTAAAAAGACATCACTGGGCATACTTGGGCCTTTCAGCAGCTAATATAATAGAAAACTGAGAAAATTAAACTGAAAACTGAATTTTACAACTGACTACTTGAAAATTATATTTATTATAGATTAACTGGGAAAAAAAGAGCTAATTTAACTGATTACTAAATGCTAATTATTTCATGCTACAAACTGAGAAAAGGGTGGGAAGCAATAAATACTGTGAGAGCTCAGGTGTGACCACCAACAAGAGTATATTGCAGGGGTTGTGTGAACTGGGGCTGGGGAAAAGGAAGGGGAAATTCTGAATTTTATTGTAGACTCTTGTATCACTGATAATTTTTATGTGTTTCTTTCTTTCTTTTTAAGATTTATTTATTACGTAGACATACTGCATGTATGTCTGCAGGCCAGAGAGGGCACCAGATCTTATTATGGATGGTTGTGAGCCACCAAGTGGTTGCTGGGAATTAAACTCTGGACCTTTGGAAGAGCAGTCAATGTTCTTAACCACTGAGCCATCTCTTCAGCCCCTTACGTGTTTCTTAATAAAAAAATTTTATCAACATAATGAACAGAAACCAACTATAGTAATGGAGAAGTCAACATAAGATGACGACCCTGGGCTATGAGAGACAGAAAAGACTCTGTGGGAGAATCATGCAGTGTGGCCCCAAGAACCATGTGTGGACAGTAACTCTCAGGCCTGCCACAGCTGGTGTATACAGCAGACTCTAGGAGTGCACAGAACCCCATTAGCTGCAGGAGCAAGAGGAGGAAGGGAGGGAGTGGTGGCAAAGGATGCCATCCAGGGACTGAAGCCTTCCTGAGTGACCTCTGCTGTGTGTCATAGGAAGCACAACTGCCTGATTTTCTCCCCAGAAATGACGATAAGCACCTCTACATTTACCTCACCATCATGAAAAGTGTTTGTCCATGAATGTGCACAAAGACATCAGGCACGTGTGTGTGGGGACATGCAGAAGAATTACACATGAGCACACATGTAAAGCTGAGCATGTGGGAGCAGGAGGAACAGGGGACAGAGGAAGTGGCTGGCAATTGCTGAGTTCCCATTCCTTCTGGCCCATGGCCTGAGAGGAGGATGTGGAATGCCATAATACCATGCACTACAGAAACCAGACATCTAGGCTTTCTGAAGAGGAAGTTGAATCTGAAACAATACTGCCTTTGAACTCCAAAATACTTCCTGCTCAGTTCAGGTCTATTCAAATAGCCCTGACTAGGTAAGCCAGATACAATGGAAACCTCATGCTTTTTAGAAAACACCTCTATAGTGTTTTTAGTTTACAGCTTCTGGACCTGGACTTTTCTGTCAATAACAACTTCCCTATGTCAGTGCCACAAGACCAGCAACTGTTTCTGTTCCATGGTGAGTCACATGCCTGGAATTTATCGTCCACAGCAAGTCTTGTAGTATGGCTAGTTACATACACAGCAAAACCTCATTTGGTTAAAATACAGTCTAACTGTAACTCTTAAGTAATGGAGTTTTATTTTTCAATTTTTGCTTTGGTGTACATGTGCACATGTGTGGGGTACATATGTATAAAATACATAAAAAAAACTCAAACTTATTAGGCTTACAGTAGGAAATACAAAAATTCCCTTCAGCTCTTCACAAACTATTGGGTGAGTGAGTTGACACATTTGACATTTAGAAATACATATTACATAGTGATACTAGTAAAACAGGAAAGCTAAAACCTGTGAAAAGCTATCATTAAAAAGTCAATGTGCTTAATATGTAAGAAATATTGGGACAGACCAAAAGTGGCAAGCAATCTCCCAGGGACTACAGAAATTGGACAAACTGTTTTTTCTCCTCTCCTGCCCCATTTCCCAAATCAGAAGATAAATCCTTCAAGCAAAGAGAAAGTCCGTCCTGACAAATCAGCTTCTGCAAAGCCACAGTGGCTAAGTCAGGAGACTGAAGACTGAATTTGTTTCCTTCATGTGCACATCAGCTAGATCACTATAAAATGAGATCTTCAATTTGGTGAATTCGCATTTAACACAGTTTTCATACAGACCTACACAATATCCTAGTGAAGGCGGCATATTTCTCTGGGTTAAAATCTTTGGTCGTCAGAACAATAGAAAAATGAGTCACCTGTCCAAAAGAAACAAACAAACAAAAGCATACTTTTTAAAGATACTTGAATAGAATTCAATAGATACTTACTGTAAAAGATGACAGTATTATTCTATTCTAACAAACCTCTTGGACACAACATAGTTGCAATAAAAAGAAAAGACCAAAATGTCAAAGTCTTCACCGGCTTCTTTACGCTTGTTTTACTTTGAGACAGTCTCACTATGTAGCCCATGTTGGTTTCAAATTTGAGACCTTTTGCCTCAGTCTCCCAAGTGCTAGATTATATGTGTATGCCACTGTGCTCTGTTGAAAAATATATAGTTTAGACTATTCTAAATCTTACTATCTTTGAATTCTGAACCACAGATGTGGTTATGAATGCTGCTATAACTTGGCAGTCTATAATCCAAAACACAGGTCACATCCACTTAAGGATTTTCCAGAAAGAACTGAAAGAGAGATGTCTTATCAATTAAAAGTATTTGCCACTCTTGCAGAGGACCCAAGTTTGAATCCCTGAACCCACAGAGCAGCTTAATATTGCCTGTAACTCCACCTGCAGGGGGTCTGATGCCCTCTTCTGGCCTCTGAAGACACCTGTACTCAAATGGGCATACACATACACAAATAAAAGTAAAAATAAAGTTTGAAAAAGACAACAAACACAGCAAACTGAATATAAGTAAATTAGTCACGAGGGCACAAATCTGTAATGGAAAGCACTTGGGAAGTGAAGACAGAACAACCAAAAGTTTACGGCCAGCCTCAGTTACATAGTGAGTATGCGGTCAGGCTGGGCTATAAGAGACCCCTAAAACAAACCATCAAAGAGAAAAAGTACTTACTGAACAAAATGCAAAGATCTTATAATACATTGAAACTTCCAAGCTTACGTTTTCTAAGAATCCTATAACTCTTTATAAATGATTTTCCTATTTTTCATACCATTCTTTAAAGTCTGGGCATACTTCATAAAGTCCCATTATAGCTCAAAAGTTAACTCTGAAAAGTGAAGAGACACCACCAGGTTCATGCCACAGACTCAGCAACTTGCTTCCTTATTTTTCTCTTGGAAAACTACTTGCTTGAACTAGAAAAGCATGTAACTTAGCTGGGTGGCAGCATACACCTTTGGCACCGGGGAGACCGAGGCAAGCAGATCTCTAAGTTGAAGCCCAGCCTGGTCTACAGAGTTCCAGGACAGTAAGGGCTAAACAGAGAAACCATCTTGAAAAAAACCAAAACAGTAACAACAAAAAAGAAGTCATATAACTTATTCCCGGGTCATAGTGATACTAACTACTCATAGAAAGCAACATACCAATAAAAGTCTAATTATGACATAGATTTTCTTAATAATCACTTTAAATTAAATTGTATCTTAATCATATACAAGTAAATTTAAAAATTCTTAACTCAGCCAAGAATAGTTATAATACTTAAAAAAGTTTTTAAGGGACTGAAGAGATAGATCGTTCAGTGGTTAAGAACACTGGCTGCTCTTACAGAGGACTGGATTCTATTTCCAGTACCCACATGGCCATACATGACTGTTTCTAACCCTAGTCCCAGGAGATCCAACACCTTTTTCTGGTCTCTGCAGGCACTAGACACACGTGTGGTACATTCATACAGATATACATTCAGGCAAAACACCTATACATATAAAAATAAATTTAAGGGCTGGAGAGATGGCTCAGAGGTTAAGAGCATCGCCTGCTCTTCCAGAGGTCCTGAGTTCAATTCCCAGCAACCACATGGTGGCTCACAACCATCTGTAATGAGGTTTGGTGCCCTCTTCTGGCTTTCAGGCATACATGCAGACAGAATATTGTATACATAATAAACAAATATTTAAAAAAAATAATAATAAAATAAATTTTTTAAAAAAATTTTTAAGTTTTTTTACTAGCTGGAATGCACTTGTAGTTCAGGCTGGTCTTGAACCTGGCAATCCTCCTCCCTGAGTCCCTTAAGAGTTGGAATTAAAGGAATGTGTCATCACTCCCAGCTTCTAAAATACTGCTATGTTTTTGAAACTCCCTATGGAGATCAGGCTGGCCTCAAACTCTCAGAGATCCACCTGCCTTCAAAGTGCTGGGATTAAAGGTATGAGGCACCACACCTAGTCCTAAAACAGATTTTAATTATGGAAAACACTTGTCATTTTTACTCAGTGTGGCTGTGAGACTGCTCTTAAAGCTCTAGTCTACCAGACTGTAACTTTGATCCTTAAGTTGTTGAGCATTCAACTAGCCACAATGGAGTGCAAAAGGGAACAGTCCCAGAGAAAATAACATTTGAGTCTTTCAAGTGTGTATTGTGAAATACAGAGTCTTTTTTTTTTTTTTTTTTTTTTGATTTTTCGAGACAGGGTTTCTCTGTGGTTTTGGAGCCTGTCCTGGAACTAGCTCTTGTAGACCAGGCTGGTCTCGAACTCACAGAGATCCGCCTGCCTCTGCCTCCCGAGTGCTGGGATTAAAGGCGTGCGCCACCACCGCCCGGCTACAAGTCTTACATTCTTAAATCACTTTAGATTTACTGAGTTTTTTTGTTGCTGTTGTTGTTGTTTGACCTGGTAGCAGTCATACCTTTTTCAAAATTGAAGCATCTGGGACTTCAACTGTAGTGATATAAAACCACGTTCTTCTGTACTGGCCAAAGACAAAGGGGTGGAGAAGTTTGTTTTCATCTGTTAGGCAGCATTTTCGAAGCAGCAGATTCCTTAATGAGGCTGTGGTGGAAGGATAACACCACACCCACAGAACTTCTCCATTAGTGTCCTTTTCTATGGTGGAAAGATGGTCACTGTGAGAATGTCAAACAGCAGCAAGGAAGTAAATTGATTGGTTACTTAGAAACATTTTGTGGAATCAGTATTAACAACCCACTTTACAAAGCAACTTAGGCTCTTGAGACCCAAAATTCCTATGAACTCGTGATTTACATTTGTTTGGTTGTTTTGTTTGTGATCACCCAGGCTAGTAATTCTCCTGAGTCTATCTCTCAAGAGTTGAGATTACAGGCTTACACCTTGATTTTAGTTTTAGGTCACCTAAGTAAAACAGGTAAAAGTGTTTGTTATGTAGCCCAATGGCCTGAGTTTGACCCCAGAACACACATGATCAAAGGAGAGGACTGGCTTCCACAAGTTGTCCTCAGACCTCCACGTGGACAAACCGTCTACACGTTCACATACACAAATAAATAAATAAAACTGTAATGAAAAACTAGGCTTAGATATTTGTTAAGATGATCTTCTCCCACCAAAAAAAAAAAAAAAATGCTATCGGGGCTGGAGAGATGGCTCAGCGGTTGAGAGCATTGTGTGCTCTTCCAAAGGACCTGAGTTCGATTCCCAGCAACCACATGGTGGCTCACAACCATCTGTAATGAGGTCTGGTGTCCTCTTCTAGCCTGCAGGCATATATATATATATATATATATGCAAACAGAACATTGTATCCATAATAAATAAATTTAAAAAATGCTATCGACTTATATTTTTATGTAACAGGAAGATCTTCAATAAAAACACATAGGAAAGGTTCCTAAAAGGGAAAAAAGAGAGGGTTAGGCATATAGGCAGAGCCACTTGAAACCCTGGGCTTGATCCTTAATCCCCCTTTCCCAAAAATGAAGGGAGATAATGAAACCTCCTTCAACTCATGTTATATACAGACTAGATTAAAATTTGCGTTTTTTAATGGGGATGAAACCCAACACATCTTACATGCTAAGCAAGAGTTCTACTGTTCTACCAAATTTTTAAAATAAAAATAACCAAAATTATCCATTCATAATGTAATTTTATCACCAAAATAAGCATCTCAATTACAAAAAAGGAAATAAAAGAACTTGTGGGACTAGCTCAGTCCCCAAAGTAGTTGTTCACTATAGATTTGCGTTACTATGCCTGATACCCTCTTTCCTTAGAAACAAAAAAATCTTTTTCTTTTCCTGAGACAGGGTTTCCCTGTGTAGCTCTGGCTACCCTGGAACTCACTATGGAGACCAGACTGGCCTCAAACTCATAGATCCACCTGCTGCTGCCCCTGGAGTGCTAGGACTAAAGGCATGCTAACACTGCCCAGTTTAGAAGTAAATACCTTTTTTCTTTCTTTTTCTGTTTTTTTGTTTTTGTTTTTGTTTGTATTTTCAAGACAAGGTTTCTCTGTGTAGCTTTAGAACTTGTCCTGGAACTTGCTCTGTAGCCCAGGATGGTCACGAACTCACAGAGATCCACCTGCCTCTAATTCCCAAGTGCTGGGATTAAAGGTGTGCACCACCACTGCCCCGCAAGGAAATACCTCTTAAATGCATGCCACAATAAAAAACTAATGGACTGGGTTTTTTTTTACGGGTAGGTATTTTTTTTTAAATATTTATTTATTATGTATTTAATATTCTGTCTGTGTGTATGCTGCAGGCCAGAAGAGGGCACCAAACCCCATTACAGATGGTTGTGAGCCACCATGTGGATGCTGGGAATTGAACTCAGGACCTTTGGAAGAGCAGGCAATGCTCTTAACCTCTGAGCCATCTCTCCAGCCCCCCCTTTTTTTTTGAGACAGGGATTTTCTGTGTAGCCCTGGCTGTCACGGAACTTGGTCTGTAGACAGAGATATCCCTGAAGTGCTGACAAGTCCAAGATGCCTGAGGTACTTAGGCTTTGTTTTCAAGCACTTTTTAAAAACTGCATTAGAGGCCGGGCGGTGGTGGCGCACGCCTGTAATCCCAGCACTCGGGAGGCAGAGGCAGGCGGATCTCTGTGAGTTCGAGACCAGCCTGGTCTACAGAGCTAGTTCCAGGACAGGCTCCAAAGCTACAGAGAAACCCTGTCTCGAAAAAACCAAAAAAAAAAAAAAAACTGCATTAGATATGAATACAATGTGCCTAGAGATGGCTTAGCAGTTAGCACTGGCTGTTCTTCAAGAGGACTGGATTCGATTCCCAGTACCCACATGGCAGCTCACAATTGGCTCCAGTTCCATAGGATCTAATGATCTCTTCTGGCTTCCGTTAGGCACCAGGCATGCACGCGGTGCAAAAAACATACAGTCAGACACTCATGCAAAATGAATAAATAAAATTTTACACTGGAAGAAAAAAATGAATTGAGGATAAAGACACTCCTTTGAACGTCTGAAAAATAATTAGTGTAGTTATTTGCTAAGCCTAAGCAATGGCTTGCACTCTGCAAGGAAGAATAGGGTTTAGGCGCATTAGAACTTCGGGAGAGAGACTATTCAAAGGATTTTATAAAGGTTTATTCATTCGTGCAGTCCGGTGTCAGCTACCGCCTGCTTGGACTGCACAAAACTCACACACAGTTTGAACTGTCCAAAGATACCTATGGATTTCCTCATCATAAATTCCTATAAACTAGCCGGGGTCACAAATGTGACCACGCAGCAGGGACATCTGGATCAACTGTCTCGTAGTTCTCCACCGTGGAAGTAGAGGTTCGAGGTCACCCTGCATGGGTTCCAACACTGGCTCCGCCACTTCCTCGAGACCCCCGGGGCATCACCTATATTCCCGGGGAGCTGCAAACACCAGCGGCCCCGCCCCAGCTCCCCAACCCAGTATTCCCAAGGCGGAACCAGCCCGCAGGCCTCACGTCAGTCCGGGCGGCGAGGAGGCCGAATTCCGCGGCCCGGGTCCAGACCCTCCCCGGCAGATCTGAGAACCGAGGTGGAGCTGCAGCGTGGGCTGGCGGGCAGAGAGCCTGGGTCCTTACCGATCAGCCCGACTCCAAGCATCAGCTGTGTATCCGTGGCCACGACCGCAGCCATCTTCCGCCGCTGCCCCGTTCGCGCCGCAGGTCCCGCCCCTCCTCTTGGCCACGCCCACACCCCTCTTCCGTCTCTTCCGGCCGGCGGATCCGACCCTGCAGGTACCGCCCCTGCTTCTCTTTCCTGGCGGGGACTTCCTCCTCGCAGCTCCATTTCTCTAAACTCTGTTCAATCACAGAGCCCCACCCAGCCTTCCACCCTCGGTTTGTGTAGTACCTTAAAGATGGAGTCTCCATTCACTGATTCATTACAAAAACGAAAACAAATAAAAATAATTGGAGACCTAATATGTGTTGGGAACGCTGTTGACCAAAAGAAAATAAGCATTCCAGTAAGGGTAAGGGACATTAATTGGATAAAATATTGCTAGGACAGGTCAAAGTGATAAGCGGCATGAAGTCAACAAAATACTGCAAGTTGGGGGCTGGAGAGATGGCTCAGAGGTTAAGAGCATTGCCTGCTCTTCCAAAGTTCTTTTTTTGTTTGTTTGTTTTTGTTTTTCGAGACAGGGTTTCTCTGTGGCTTTGGAGCCTGTCCTGGAACTAGCTCTATAGACCAGGCTGGTCTCGAACTCACAGAGATCTGCCTGCCTCTGCCTCCCGAGTGCTGGGATTAAAGGCGTGCGCCACCATCGCCCGCCTCTTCCAAAGTTCTTGAGTTCAGTTCCCAGCAACCACATGGTGGCTCACAACCATCTGTAATGGGGTCTGGTGCCCTCTTCTGTCCTGCAGGAATACATACAAACAGAATATTACATACGTAATAAGTAATAAATATCTAAAAAAAATACTGCAAGTTGTCAGGGAATGAGGTATACCACCTCACAATGGGTGTCAAGCAAGACTTCCTGAAGTATTATGTTATTAGGTATAATACACATGCCAACTATCAAAAGAAAAAGATCAAGTCATCATTTTCAGAGTGTTTCCTTGCTGTTTGATGGGGGCTAATGACGGCAGTGTTGCAGTGACCTACACAACACACCCTCTGAAAGTAGATGTTTGCCTTACCTATGTACAGTTTCAAGAAAAGAAATCCTTTTTTCATAATCTTGGCTTTTCCCTGAGCATTAAATCTTACTCTAGAAGCTGGGTGAAGATGGCTCATGCCTTTAATCCCAGCACTCGGGAGGTAGAGGCAGACGGATCTCTGTAAGTTCGAGGCCAGCCTGGTCTACAGAGCGAGTTCCAGGACTGGCTCCAAAGCTACAGAAAAACTTTGTTTGGGGGACGAGGAGGAAACACTGAATAATCCACTCTAAAATGATAAATTGTATGCCATGTAACTTTGATAAAAAATCATTTAAAAAAAATCATTTAAATATTTTTTAAATCTCTTTAACATTTTTAAACTTTATTTCTTAGCCGGGCGGTGGTGGCGCACGCCTTTAATCCCAGCACTCGGGAGGCAGAGGCAGGCAGATCTCTGTGAGTTTGAGACCAGCCTGGTCTACAAGAGCTAGTTCCAGGACAGGCTCCAAAGCCACAGAGAAACCCTGTCTTGAAGAAAAAAAAAAACAAAAACAAAAACAAAAAAAAAACAAAAAAAAACTTTATTTCTTACTTCTATGTGTATGAGTGTTGTCTGTGTACCACATGTGTGCAGTGTACATCAGAGGTCAGAAGACAGCATCAGATTCCCCTGGTACTGGAAATACAGACAGTTGCAAGCTGCCATGTGGGTTTTGGGAATTGAGCCTGAGTTCTCTGGAAGAAGCCGAGTGCTCCTAACTGCTAAGGCATCTCTGTCGTCCCTCATTTCAATAATTTTTTTGGTGTTCTGTGTTTGTGTATACATGTGTACAAGAGTATGAGTGCACACTTACCCATATGTGCACATATGAAGGCCAAGGGTATGTCAGGTATCTTCCTCTTACTTCTTGAAACAGAGTCTTTTGTTGGTCCTGGAACTTGTCATTGCAGCTAGGTCAGGATCTACTATGCCCATCCCCCATCACCCCACCCTTCCAGTAACAGATGTGTGTAACAGATGTGCGCCATTATGCCAGGCTTTTTATGAGGGTGCTGAGGGTCTGGACTCAGGTTCTTATGCTGGCACAGCCAAGCTCTCTACCCACTAACCCATCTCCTTAGCCCTCCATTTTATTTATTTATTTATTTATTTATTTATTTTTAAGACAGAGTCTCTCTGATTGGTTAGACTTTCTAGCCAGCAATCTCTTAGGATCTTCTTGTCTCTACCTCTCCAGAATTGGGATTACAGTGACACAACTTTTTATGTGGGAGTTGGGGATCCCAACTCAGGTCTTCATGCTTCCTGACAAGCACTTTTCAGCCTTAACCATTTCCTCAACGTATACTGTTATGGGGTATTCACCAGAGAAGACAGCTCAGACATGGGTTTAAGCCAATAGAAGTCATCACTAGAGGGTCAATGACTATATTGGGTGCTTGGGATCCCAGTGTAGCCTGAGAATTTCTTAGGGTGAACTTTTAAGCCCAAAAACCATGTTCTCAGTTGACATACTTCATACTGTTAACATTCTGTTAACAATAACAGCTAGCCAGAAGCAGAACTACAGAGGCCAAAAATCTAGAAACTTTGTAGTCTCATAGGATATTTAGAGACTTTCCCAGAATTATGGACTTTGATGAGTTAGGCCTTTGTTTTAATTTTGTCTGGTGGTGATGTCTACATGTTGGATTTTACAGCCTGTATGGCACTTCCATTATGGAGTCAATAGTACTAAGGTCTGGAGGCCTGCTACGGTATCAGGACTTGTTACAAGGTAAAACAGGACTTTCCCAGTTGCTTTAGTAAACTAAGGTTCTTCTGAATGGCCAGCCAAGAACTTTCCTGTTTTTGTTTGTTTGCTTGTTTTGTTTTGTAAAACAGGTATGATTTCTGTCTTATTAACGTGAAGGGACACCATGACCATGGCAACTCTTAATAAGGAAAACATTTAATTGGGACTCACAGTTTCAGAAGTTTAGTCCATTATCATCATGGTGGGAAACATGGCAGCACACAGGCAGATATAGTACTGGTTAGGTAGCTGAAGTCTCTACATCTGAATTGGCAGCAGAAACAGAGAATGACACTGGGCCTGGCTTGAGTATTTGAAACCTCAAAGTCCACACTCAATGACATACTTCCTCCAACAAGACCACACCTCCAATAATGCCACTTCATATTAGTCTATGGGGGCCGTTTTTATTCAAACCTCCATAGTTTATGACTTCAATTTGATTTGATAAGTTTGACTTGGATCTGGCCTGTTGGGCCTCGTGCAGGAACTTGGTCCAAAACAATTTCATTGTATAAATTTTATTTTCTATGTTGGATGGTTAATCTTTTTAATTTGATTGACTTAAGAAATGTCTAGGAGATTAGTGAAATACTATTTGGTTATGTCTATGATGGTGTTCCCATAGGTGATTAGATCATAAGGATAACTTAATAAATGAATTAATCCCTTGATGGATTCATAATATGATAGTTTTATTGGAAGTGGTCACTGTAGGAAATAGGGGCTAGTTAGAGGAAATAGAGTGTCTTAGTTTGGATTTCTATTGCTGTGAAGAGACATTATGACCACAGCAACTCTTACAAAAGAAGGTATTTAATTAAGGTGGCAGCTTACAGTTTCAGAGGTTATGTCTGATAGTTTCTCTTCCTATGAAATTATGGGGTTAATTGCATTCAAACTACCACATTCTACTCCCTGACCCCTATAAGTCTGTAACAATATCATGATGCAAAATTCATTTAGTCCAACTTCCAAAGTCCTCATAGTCTATCACAATCTCAATAATGTTAAAAAGATCAAAATTCAAAGTCTTTTCTGAGATTCATACAATCTCTTAATTGTGATCATCTATAAAATCAAAATGAAAAACAGATCACATACTTCCAACATATAATGGCACAGGATATACCTTATCATTCCAAAACTTAGGAACAGAAGCATAGTGAGGAAATACTGGACCAAAGCAAGACCGAAAACTATCTGGGCAAACTCCAAACTCTGCATCTCCATGTCTGATATCAAAGCGCTCTTTAGATCTCCAACTCCATTTAACTTTGTTTATTGCAATATATTTCTTTCTCTTGGGCTAGTTCCACTCCCTGGTATCAGCTGTCCTTGGCAGGTATCCCACAATTCTGCATTCTAACATCTCGGGTTCTCCAAAGCAATCCACGCTTCAACTTCACAGCTTCATGCAATGGCTTCTCTACTAGTGACACCCCTGATACATGCTTGGCCTCAGCAGCTTTCTTTCTGCATGCAGGCAAATTCTATAACCCATTTCTTCTATCCTTAACTCTAAAGTCAGAACCACATGGCCAAGTTCTGCTGCTTATTGGGGCCCCCTCATTCAATTACATCTCTACCAACTTTATGTCCTTCATTGCCTAAGCTTGGCTGTCCTGAAACTGGATCTCCAGCAGGCAAATCTCTGTGAGTTTGAGGCTAGCCTTGTATAGACAATGAGTTCCATGACAGACTCCAAAGCTAAACAGAGAAACCCTGTCGCAACCTCCCTGCCAAAAAAAAAAAAAAAAAGTAGTTTACTGGGAGACTGTGTTTGCCACTAAGCTGACAAACCCTATCCAAAAATTAGCTTTGGATTCCTGCTGCTCAGGACAACTTCAAAACTAAGATGGTCCAGCCTCAGAGACTACTCGAGACAGGACTTCAGGTAAGTCCTGCAATTCCCCATCACACCAAGATTGGACACAGCTTGATCTCCCGGGACTTGACCATTATCTTAGTTTTCCATGGTCCCCTAAAGATGCCCTTGCCCAAAGAAACAGAAAGTAACTTTAAGAACACAATGCCCACATTCCCAAGAGATGGGGTGGTTGGTTTTTGGTCAATTCCATGGAGTATAGATGTGTATCATCTTTTAGGGGGGTTGGTTGCAAGTTGTTATTGGTCATAGTCAGGGAGGAAACTAAGCAAAGGATATTAGATTCAGGGATCTCATTCTGAAAAGAAAAAGAAATATAGGAATGATAGGATAATAGGGTAGATTATTGAATCTGCTTTTAAACTAAAAAAAAGAGGTACTAGTCTTAAATATT